GCTGTATTTATTATTTCATTTGAAAATAACTTTAACTTCTGTTGTGTTTTCTTTTTTGACCTATGGGTTATTTAGAAGTCTGTTTCTTCATTCCCAGTATATGGACATTTTCTGATTACCTTTCTGTTAATGATTTCTAGTTTAATTTTGCTGTGGTTAAGAACATACTCAGTATGATTTCAGTCCTTTGAAATAATAGTGAGCCTTTCTTTTGATCCCTTTTTAATATACTGTTTGCTTTAAAAATGAAGTTATAGTATTCTATATATGTTCGGTAGCTCAAGTGTATTTATCATTCAGGTCATCTGTATCTGTAGTGATACTTTTGTCTGCTTGCTCTAATCATTTACTAAGGGAAGTGTATTGAAGTCTCCTACAATTATTATTGACTTATCTACTTATTTTATAATTCCGTTTTATTTTAAATATGTTGACCATGTTAATTATGCATACAAATAAAAATTTTTTCCATCTTCCAGATGAATTGAACTTTTTCCCATTATGAAATGATTGTTTTTATGTCTAATGTTTCTCACCCTCTTTGACTACTTTGTCTTGTTTGGTTTTAATAAACCTATATCAGCTTTCTTTTGGTTAGTGTTTGCTACGTATCTTACTCCATCCTTTTACTCTCTATCCCTGTATTTAAGGTATATCTCTTATAAACAAAATATAATTGTGTTTTTTTAATCCTAACAATCTTTGTCTTTTAATTAGATTATATAGTCATTTACATTCACTGTAGTTACTTTTTGCTTTCTACTGTCTATGTTCACTTCTTCGATTGACCTCTTTTTGACTGGTTGTTTTTTCCTCTCTCTTCGCTTGGTAGTTAGATGCATTTTATTCTTTTAGTGGCTACCCTAGTGGCATTTTTTCTTACCAAAGTCAGATGTTACTTGGCACTTTACTTTCATCTCAGACTATGAAGGAACTTTGGAACGCTATATAATTCTAATGTATAACTTTTGTTTGTCCCACCTCTTTTCATAAGATGGTATAAATCACAATCAGTGGTAGAATAATTACAGTCTCCATGCAAGACATTAATTAGAACTCTGGTACTATCGTTGGCTAAGTCAGAAGCTAGGCATCTGGAGGAATATTGGATGAAATGCTTACCCTATCACTTTTTTGACATTATCCCTCCATGCATGTTGTTTATTGGTATAGTACTGACACCAGAGGAGAGCACCTCCGACTGCATCCAGGGACTGTGGGTGGACACCTACTGAGGGCTATTCTTAGAGGCTGGCAAAGCCTTTCAAGTTTAGTCACAGGTTCATGGTTACTAATCTGCCTCTGTACTAATTCAGTGCTGGTGACTCTAATCCATAGGATACACACTTGTGTATTTAACATATCCCATCTGCGTGTAGTTTGCTTGTGCTTCCATTATATTTTCTCCTCATCATATTTGATATTTTAAAAATTGTCAGAAAAGGTATATCCTTTTTCTAGTGACATTTTTGGTCAGGTTTATTTTAATTCATAGAGTGTAACTTTAGGTCCACAGTAGGTTGGCTTCCACCCTGTCAGTTTATTGTCTGATTCCACTTGAAGTAACATGGAGGAAGTAGTGTGTGACTCAGTCATTGCTCTCTGCTTTCTGGAAATACAGTATTCTGATTATCCATGATCAAATATAAATGAAAATATGTATGCCTACATGTTTAGCACCTGTTCTTGCTACTTATGTCCATTAATAATCTCCATTTGGTTTCTCTAAACTTATACTGTGAATTGATGAAGAATTATCTAGTTGAAAATGTATTAATAGTCCAGTGACTAATCTATATTTCAAATGAAAACTTTCTCTGTGTTCTTACCAGTAATACTCTCTAATTTTATTTAACTTTTTAAAGTCCATTCTGCTTATTGACAAAATTCATATCTTTATATAGTATTGTCCAAATTTTTGGACATGTTTGTTCATAGCTCCTAAAATTGGAGTGATATCAGCTATTTGCATGAATTTTAGGGAAAAACTGAAGGTAGACATTGACTTTTAGCAATGTCAAGTTCATGATTTTGAAATACGTATATATTTAAATTCCTTTAATACTGCCATTTAAGAATGTAATTTACTCAGACTGAGTCATATTACTGTACTTACTACGTGTTTCTTCCCAGAATGTTTACTCAGAACCTAAAAAGGAAAAAGGAAATGGTTGATCCAGTACATACGGTGCTATGATTTCTGAGACCAGCACTTGGTTCCTGTTTGGATGTGTATTTAGTTCTGCTCCATTACAATCTGGGCTGTGCTCCACCCTCTCCTTGAAAAAAATTTTTTTCTTCTCCAATGTAATTTATGAAAAATTAGGTTACAGGGCTAGGAGTAAATAAACGTGTGTGATGCCACATTTCAGACATAAAGTAGCACTTGCTATATTTAAGAATAAACTTCTGTAGATCGAACATAAAGGCTGTTTTCATTTTCTGTTTCAAGATACACTTTTGGCAACTCCCATAATCACAGTAAAGATGTTTTCTAAACCTTCTTTTGACCAAGGACTGCTGCTGCTATAAAGTCAGCATTTAAATTCCACAAGCTGCGAGGGACAGGAATAACAAGGGTAAGGTCAGGTGTTCCGTTCCTGCCCACAGAGTGAATGGGCTGTTTCAGGGAGTCTCCACCGAGCTGCCTGAAGGGAGAAAACCGCGGAGCGGGAGGCGCCTCAGGGCCTGTGCACCAGGGTCAGCAGTGCTGGTTTTCACGAAAGTGCCAGAGATCCACATTAGACAAGGTTGTAGTGATAAAGCGCATGACCGGTTGCCGGGGTGGGGGGGTGTAATGAGTGCATTGAATGTAGCCTGAATCACTCTTTGCACAATTATTTTTAGACTTTTTGAAAAAAAGTAGATCTGACTTGCCAAGAATAGAGTGCTTAATTTTCAAGTAATTGAAGTGGGGTTTTTTGTTGTTGCTGTTGTTTTTCATCTCCAGCCAGGAGTTATTTATGGGTTTAAAATGGATATGAAAGTAACTCAGACTATTTCAGGATCTGAAATCGCTAAATGATAAAGTGACATATTAATGTAATTATATTCTTGGTCATAGGAAGGTTTCCTTTGTGAAGAACTCTCATTTGTTTCATGTTGAGCTTTAGGAGAACTTAATTATGGGAGAAATGAAGTCAGTGTCATTAAGGATGGAAAGTGGGTATCTTGATAACTTGGTGTGGTGGGGATGAGTGCTGGGGATGTGTCTGCCCTCACTCTCAGGTTTGTCCAGCAGGCTGTTCTGTTAGAGGTTCCTAGACTCACAGGCTGCTTAGGGACTTTAAGTTATGTACCTGTAACCTTATAAGGAGAGTCTTTGTCCCCACCACCTGCCATGGTTATTTTAAGCAGCACTGTTCACAGTGGGCTTCATGCTGAGGAGTTGGTTTATCTGGGACACCGTGGGGGCTGGGGGAATGACATGTTACATTTGATTTTGAGGGATCCCTGGCACCCCTGAGGAAGAGGGTCTGGAGGAGAACAAGCTGGGAGTCAAGAGAAATGATAAGAGCTTGAGGGGCAAGACCCGAGAGGTCCAACTGGTGGGTTTGAATGTGTTGGTGGGGGGCAGACTAGGGAGACTCTTCCCCCACCCCTCATGGGACAGATGATTGGGCGCACAGAGACTTCACAAGTCATTCTCACATACGTTCTCTCCCAGGCAGGGAAGGGCTGGCACATTTGTTGCCCAAGAAAGCAGGATGAGTAAGGGGCGTGATTTCACCCTAGAGGCTGGCCCAAGTAATGACACACATGCACAAGGGAATGAGTCTTTGTCGTTGAGTGTGACATATGGGTGAAGTGTAAACCCCATGTGACTGGCTGTGAGCTGGCAGCCAAGAGCTGGGATTGGAGACTATGGGGTGAATTCACTTTTAGACATGTTGAATGTGAGGTACCTAATGAGACATCCAGGTGGACATGTTCAGGAAGGGGCTGGATTTCTGAGTCTGAAGATGGGGGGGTAGGGGGACTAGACTGGCTATTTGAGAGTCACATGTCTTAACTCTTTCTAGAACAGGGCACCATAGTATCATTTCTGTAAAGGTGATAGCTGAAGTCACAGTCTAGTTGGTATTCTTTCTCTTTCCCCACATCTACCACAGTCTTAATTTTAATTCTCCTTCATCTGCAGCCTTCAGTTTACCCAAGGAATTCCTACCAAACTGTGGGAGGATCTACCCAGCACATTTTGTTCTTGTTTGTATGGTCTGGTGGTTGTTCCAAATGAATCTATTTTTTCTAGTTCTTAGGTATCAGACCCATTTGGTTCCTATAGATAAGTGAACAGGGAGAGGCTCTTGTTCACCTTTATCAGAGTTTAGTAGCAGAGATGCATCACACTGCCTCAAACTGCAAGAGATGTACTTTGCAAATCAAGTGGTTTGTCTTGCTGCTTTTGGAGTAAAGCTCAATTCTCGAACATTTTCCATGTGACTGTACTTGTTTCAGAGAATTGATGTAGTCCCGGGAGATACGAGGCAGAGCACTGTCCCTGCTGCATTTTCCCATGGTGTTAATATTTTCCAAAATGATACAAGAACTAATATGAGAAAAAACAACCTTTATCTTTTATGCCTGACAGATAATCAGATTACTCTGGGGATTAGATAAAAATAAGTCATTTGTTCCTATAGTTAGTTACTATAATGACCATGATAATCTTGCATAAGAGAATTTAAAAATTAAATCAGATAAATAAGATTCAGCTTAGTGAATGAGAAAATATAGAAAGCATGATGTGAATTTGAAGACAAAATTGGCATTCTCTGGATGAACAGTGTTGTACAGTAAGTTTGCTAGGGACTATGTCCCTTTGGCGCCCACCCTGCCACGGGCACGCAGTCACTGCTTCTGACGTGCCCCAGGGCCTGATGCTTCCAGCCGCGGTTCGCAGCGGTAGATTGTGCTTCATTCCACTATTTTACTTTCTTTAATATCTTCACAAAATCCACACAGTGACTTTTCCCCCTAACATCTGATTTTATTCACAGGCCATGTTCTCATAGAGATTTCAAGTACCCACAAGAAACTCAATGAGAGTCTTGATGAAAACGTATGTAAACTATGTTTATACTTATAAAATAAAATATATTTTATTTCCAAACTGTATTTTGCTTAATGTCTCAAATCTGGTGTGAACTTTTAATTCCTTTTGTTAACAGTTCAAAAAATTCCATAAAGAGATTATACATGAGCTGGAGAAGAAGACAGAACTTGATGTAAAATACATGAATGTGAGTACACGGTTTTCTCCACCTCCATGGTTGGAAGTGGGTGTGGGGCACGGGGACCTGGCGTTCCGGGAGGCTGCCCTTGCCTGATCTCTGAGCGGAGGAGAACTTTCTCTCACTGTTTATCCAGCAGCAGAAAACATGGACAGAGCTTAGTGTTGAGTATATATACACAGAGGCAGGAAACTGACAAGGTCCCTTGGAGCTGGGTGCCCCGTTTGCATTAACACCTGGGATCTTTATTAAAAAGCAGAGAGGAAAATATTGCAAGGAGTCCTCCTGCTTCAGACAGCACTGTTTCCAAAGAACACGTATGTGGGGACAACCTCTGCATCTGTATTCGTGCTGCTGTAGCTGTTGCTTTCACAAACCACGTCAGGGTGTGAGACGTGGGTGGGAGAACCACCATCTGGAGCTCCCTGGGACTCCCAGGTCCATTCGTCAGAGACTGCTCCTGCGTTGTGTCCCTTGCCTGTCACCTGGTATTGATGACTCCAGCTGTTTTCTCCTTCTGCCGGACCCTCCAGCCCTGTCACACGGCTCTTTCCATCTCCCTTACCTGCTGTGGAATAGCTGCTTTCTTTGCCACCTAAAGCCTCTTTCTCACCAAGACCCCATGTGGCAGTAAGCACTGTCATTACCCTGAAATCGTCCCACGGCCCCTGAGTGCGTGTGCTCTGTGTGCTCTGGAGGAAGGCGGCAGGACCACCTACAACAGCTGAGGTGGATGTAATGCCAAGCATTTTCCATACATTATCAGATTTTTGTCCCTACAGAAACCCCATAATGTAGCTACTCTCCTATCCTCACTGTACATATTAAAGGGAAAACATGAATTTGAGAGAAACTAAGTGGTTGCTGAGATCCCACAGGAAGTGAAGGATTTCACCAGAATTCTAACTTAGGTCTGTGAGGCTCCAAAAACACTTGGTTACACAGCACCCAAAATAATCAGAAGTGATTGTGCTTGTTCATTCTGTTTTTTAAAGTTGTAAGTCATAAAACAGGAACATTTGACTTAATATTGTTTTTTTATTCACCAAAGTACTTAGCACTCAGTGTCCTAAAAAATTTGAGAAAATAAGGAATAAAAGAAAGAAAAGACATTCTTGTCTTCTAAGAGTTGCCCTTGGGGTCAGTAGCCCCTTGTCCGACCAGGGGACTTTAAGACAGACAAAGCTGCATGTTGGAGGGAGGGAGCAGTATGAGGTGAGGGTGTGCAGGGCCATGCCCAACGGAAGTGTTAGCAAAAGTAACTGCCCAACAGTTTGCACGGTGCTGCACTCAAATAAGCACAATATTTAACTTACAGGCAACTCTGAAAAGATACCAAACGGAACACAAAAGTAAATTAGATTCTCTGGAGAAATCTCAAGCTGAGTTAAAGAAAATCAGAAGGAAAAGTCAAGGAGGACGAAATGCACTCAAATACGAACACAAAGAAATTGAGGTGAACTTTTCAGCACTATTTTATTTTGTTGTTGACAGTTTATACAATTTACAGGGAACATTACTTACCTCAGTCAGCCACTTTAACCACTTACTGCTATGCCGCTGTTGAAGTTAAAAATGAGCGTTTTGACTTGGTATGAGCTGAAGGCTACAGAGTTTTCCAGAGTTAAGAATAATTAATAGCCTCCTAAAAACATTGGCATTTTCTCCTGATTTGGGGGTGGGGAGGTGGTAAGAGATATTCCATGATTAGCATTACTCTCCCCATGTTACAGATGAAGAACATGGGGCTTAGGCCAAGTCACATGGTTGATACTTAGAACTGGGGTTTAAATTTGAACTTTCTGGTTTCAAAGTCCTTGATTTTCCACTAGAACACAATCCTATCCCTGAAGTATAAAGTAATATTTTGTGCAGATTGCCCAATGCAGAATGTAAGGCCTTTGGCAACGTCCTTCTACACATGAGTCAGGGATCTTAATCAGAATGATGATACCTGCTCAGGTCAGGTTACAGCTTTGTTATTTTATCTCATGTTTATCTATTTAGCGTTAACTTCTCTTTCAAAATAAACCAAGTGTAAAGACGGCACAAGATAAATGTCTGGCTGTGCAGCTACTTGATTCCTCATGACATACTTGTATAATTATTATTTATTTTCCTAGTATGTAGAAACCGTTACGTCTCGCCAGAGCGAAATCCAGAAATTTATTGCAGATGGTTGCAAAGAAGCTCTACTTGAAGAGAAAAGGCGCTTCTGCTTTCTGGTCGACAAACACTGTAGCTTTGCAAATCACTTACATTATTATCATTTACAGGTGGGTTTGTGATGGCAAGTTTTGTTGCATTATTAATAATTTAATTTCATATTCAAATGCCCTTGAAATGCTTCACCTTCCATATGTACCTCAATGTAAAGCGATGGGCCTAGTTTACCAATGAGAAGAGATGCCAAAGAAACACCTTTTGGCCCACTTGAATATGTAAACTTTCAGAAATGTGGATGAAATGGTTAAATATTGCTTATAATACATGATTAATTTAGTAGTATATCCATATTTAAAATCTTTCATAAAATAATGCTTAATAATCAAGAATTAGTACTTTTTTCTTTTTTCACCTATGAGTCAGCTTTTCTCAGACTCTTTCTGATGCGTCCTCAGCATCAGTGTGTTCAGAGCCATGGGATGAGTCCCAGCGAGCCAAGCTCACCCCACCTGGGTAGTTTGAGTGTTCGCCTTGGGAGTCCATGCACAGAGGTGTCCCTGGAAGTTCTCTCCCAGCCGCAGACCCATTCACAGCATCAGGACACTTGCTGTGGTTCCTTTTTCATTCCTCTTCAAGGTGTTTCCTCATGATCTCATCACCCGTGGAACTGGCTTTACTGCCCTCCTTCTAGCACACGTAGTTGTGAAGTTTTACCCCCAGGAATCATTACAAGATAATACGTTACTTTCCCTTCCTTTTTTTTTTTTTTTAATTATAAATTTTACTGGGCCTGTGTAAGCATCCAAAACTAGCATGGAGTGAAGTCAAATATTCATTGTTATTTATAATAATTTAGATAGCGCTCCATGGTAGAAGTTTCTAAGAGCTTGAAAATAAGGCAACTTCCTCTTTTTCAGGGGGAAAAAAACTTGGCCTTGTATGTATGCTTTGGTCATATGTTACATATTCCATAAAGTTTTTGCAACCTTAAGGACCATTCATCTACCAGATCTAAAGCCCCAAGATCTAACATTGTTACAGGAAAGGAAAGAATTGCAGTATTAGATGATCACTTTGTACTCAGTTCAGCAGTGTCTGTTTCCGGTGAGGGTGTCCTGCTGGGGCAGGGTCATAGGTCAGGTGACCTTGAGGCTCTTCCTTTGGCCTAGCCCTGCCAGTGATGGGGTACTCACTGTGTCACAAGGCAACCTTGCCAATTTGCAGAGAGCTCTAGTTGGTGGCAGACTCATGCTTAACCTTGGATCCCGGTTACACTTTTTAGCATAAACGAAGTCTACTTCTCTTCTCTACTGGGAATCTCTTCATCTCTCTGAAAACTGCTTCTTTGCCTTCCGTTTTTCTGGTTCCAGCATCCCAGTCCTTTCAGTGGCTCCTTGGACAAAGCAGGCCCAAGCAATCGGTGTGTCAGGGCTACAGTCCGAGGCCATAGGTGGTTTGGGGTGAGGGTTTTTTGCCTTCTCTTAGGAGTGGGAGGAAGAAAGCACTGATTGGCATTTCTGGGGCCACTGGGGAAACAGTGGGGCTTAATAAGATTGTTCAGCCCTTCCCTTTTCGTGTTTGAGTTTGTTCTGCGTCAGTCTTCAACTCTGCATTCACACTGAGGCAGAGGGCAAGCTGCTGTAGAACAGGGGCCGACACCTCTCGCAGCAAGTAACACAGGGAGGAAGTTCATAGATGCTTAAGTGCTCACTGAATTTGACCCAAAGCTCTCACACTTCTGGTGGTAAGCCAGTAAAACATTATCCCTGATATTTGACGTGACTTTTCTCAGCTCTTTGAACAGTACACGTTTGTGTTTTGTTGTGTTTCTCTCGGATTCACAGTCTGCAGAATTACTCAATTCCAAGCTGCCCCGGTGGCAGGAAACGTGTGGTGACGCTACCAAAGTGCCCGAGAAGATCATGAATATGATTGAGGAAATAAGGACCCCAAGCTCTACCCCCGTGTCCGGGACACCCCAGCCCTCACCGATGATTGAGAGAAGCAGCATGGTAGGGATGGGTTCTCTCTCCAAGATTTCATTTGGGTTTTTACTGATAGATCTTGGGCCAAATTTGCACGAAGGACCAAGGCCTTTGGTGATGGCAATCACAGGTCCTTCCTTGTCTCACTCTGATCCCGTTACCTTCAGATTTGACATTAGCCATGCAGTGCTCAGCACTGTGTAGTGCTGTGTTCAACTCTGTTATCTTTGTTTTGGAAATGTTACTGCTACTGTTTTTAATTGTAATGATTCCAACTTTGTGAGTTTATTCCAAGTGAAGGAGGCGTAGGTGTCTTAGAGAATAATCAGCAAAACTCTGGTGCCATTCATCACAACATAAGGCACTTCAGAAAAAAACAGCCACCAAAGTATTTCAAGGTAATGAAATCAAGCATTGTAATTTGCCACTCCTTGTACCTCGGCTTTATTGCTTTTCACAAATGTGGAAATACGCCCTTGATCTTAGCCAAAAGGCCGAGAAGCGATACAAATGTGGAAATTCAGATCCAGGGGATAGTTTAGACACATGGGTCCACCCTGACCTCTGAAATGAAAGCAAAGATGCTAAAGACCAGTCGACAACCTACAGAATAGATCATAACTGCATGGGGGATAAGAGAAGGTGCTGTCGGTGGGCCAGAAACACTGAAGGAGTCTCAGAGAAAGGCAAGATCAGTGTGTGTGGAGAATCAAGAGAGAAGAAAATCTCAGCCCCAAGCACATGCAGGGCAAGACTGTAGCAGAGGGCCGAGCAGTGAGCTCAGAGTCAGTGGGTCTAAGAAGGGGTGGAGAATGGCATGTGGCGTTCCTATATATGGTCGGTTCTAGACGATTCACATCCTCTAAGGTGGTCCCACTTGTGCTAAACAGTAGGCGTCAGGGCTTTTGTCCACTGGCCGAAACTGTGTGTTCAGAGGCCAGGCACCCGCCTAGCTGCGTCTTCCCTGTCTCCACCTCACCACAGGTAGTCTGTGATAACAAGAACAGGCAAAATACAGACTATGATAAACCGGCAAAAGAATAGGGAATGCCATACAATACAGAGATGGACAGATAATCGGGGCTCACCAAACAAGTGAGGAAAACCAGTATCCTGAAAAAACACACTAAAAGAAAAAAACTGGAATAAACAATATTGGAGGCAACAGAGGCAGGAGGGCAGAGGAGAAATCTTTAGAAAGAAACGAAAAGATATTACATCCCCAGGGGAAAATTAACTAAAGATTTTGGGAATTAAAAATGGATTATTATTCACAATTGAGATGTCTGGGATTTGCTTCAGCATATTCCAGGCACGGGGGAAGATGGTGTAGCATATATGAAACAATATTGGCCATGAATTCATAATTGTTGAAGCTGGGTGTTGGGTACAGGGAGATTTATTGTGCTGTTCTTTCTCCTTTATACATGCTTGAAATTTTTCTAAAATAGCTTTTTAAATTTTTCCCTCCCCTTTCCCCTTCCACAAAAAAAAACATAAGCAAACCCCCACACCAATAGGTGGGCTCATTAACAGAATGGAACTGCTTAGAAAATTAATCCAAAGAGCTCTCACAAAACACAGAACAAAAACGGAGAGAGGATGTAAACATAATGTTAGACAGGTTGGAGATACCCAATTGCCTTCTCAAAATCATCACCAGATGTCTAACGGGGATCTCAAATTCAACTTGTCTAAAACCAGATGACTGATTTCTCACTCTAAGTGTGCTTCTCTAGTCTTCCCCATCCAGAAAATGGCAGCTCCATCCTTCCAGTAGCTCGGGCACAAATGCGGACTTCTCTCCCTCTCTCCACCCCCCACCTGCCTACCCCTCAGCCACAGCCAAGCCCTGGGCCTGCCCTGTCGTTTCCACCTTCAAAGTATAAACAGGTCCAGCCGCTTCACACCCGTCCACTGCCCTAACTGTGGTCCCTGCTGAGATTACTGCAGTAGACTCTGCCTGATCTTTAACACGGCAACGACAGTGAGCCTGGACAAATGAAAAAAAACAAAACCTTGATAGACTGTGGTCAAGTTGCAGAAGGGGATAAAGAGAAAATTCTAAAAACTTCCAGAGAGGGGGAAAATAGATTACTTACAAAGAAAAGAGTACTCCACTGGTACCAGATTTCTTGTTAGCAAAACAAGTTGTTAGAAATCAATGGAGCAATGCACTCAAAAATCCTTGGAAAAATTATTTTAAATGTAGAATCCTAGGGCACCTGGGTGGCTCAGTCAGTTAAGTATCTGCCGTCGGCTCAGGTCATGATCCCGGGGTCCAGGGTCCTGCTCTGCAGGGAGTCTGCTTCTCCCTTAACCCCTCCTCCTACTTGTTCTCTCAGTCTCTCTTTCAAACAAATAAAATCTCTAAAAAAAACAAAACAAAACCTGTAGTACCTAGGAGGGAGCCTAAAATCCATAGAGACAGAAAGTAAATTAGTGGTTGCCAGGGTGTAGTGGGAAATGGGGAGTAACTGCCTTTTAAAAAAATGAAGACAAAAATGAAAAAAATGTGATATTCTTGAAATAATTCAGAGTGGGGCATTGCCATCAACCAAGAGAACTTTGTGAAGAAAGTGGAATTTAAAGCATGTTAAAACAGCCCTGGGAATCTGTATAATTCCATTGCTGTGTTACACTAATATTAAACTAATGAAGAATTTTTCACAGGTTGGGAAAGATTATGACACTCTTTCTAAATATTCGCCAAAGGTGCCCCCAGCTCCTTCAGCCAGAGCGTATACTAGTCCTTTGATTGATATGTTTAATAACCCAGCAACAGTTGGACAGAATTCGGAAAGGATAAAGAATTCAACAGGTAAGAGATTTATTTTATTTTAAAATACCTTTTTAGGGAGCGCCTGGGTGGCTCAGTCGTTAAGCGTCTGCCTTCGGCTCAGGTCATGATCCCAGGGTCCTGGGTTCGAGCCCCACATCGGGCTCCCTGCTCAGCGGGAAGCCTGCTTCTCCCTCTGCCGCTCCCCCTGCTTGTGTTCCCTCTCTCGCTGTGTCTCTCTCTGTCAAATAAATAAATAAAATCTTTAAAAAATAAAATAAAATACCTTTTTAGGGGTGCCTCAGTTGTGCAGTCAGTTGAGCCTCTGACTCTTGGTTTTGGGTCATGATCTTTGGCTTGGGTTGTGATTTCGGGGTGTTGGGATCGAGCCCAGCCTCAGTCTCTGGGCGCAGCGGGAAGTCAGCTTGAGATTCTCTTTCCCTCTGCCCCTCCCCCTGCTCGCATTCCACCCCCAAATAAATAAAGTCTATAAAATTAGCATCGTTAAAAAATAAAATACCTTTTTAAATTTTTTTACTATTTTAGATAAACGTTATCCTGAGGTAGGGGTAAATAAACATCTATGGTAGCACACATTTATAATTGCCTTGTTGAAACTTTTTTTTTTTTTTTAAGATTTTATTTATTTGAGAGAGAGAGCATGAGCAGGGAGGAGGGGCAGAGGGAGAGGGAGCCTGATGCGGGGCTCAGTCCCAGGACCCCAGGATCATGACCTGAGCTAAAGGCAGAAGCTTAACCAACTGAGCCACCCAGCCACCCCTGCCTTATTGAAACTTACACTTCAAAGTAAATAAAGGTCTGGGTTTATTATAAAACCATAAGACATTTTATAAGTGACACATTTCTTTGACAAATTCTAATTCCATATACTGCTTGATGTTTATACAAAGGAAACTTACTATTGAAAGGTGTTACATTTTGAAATGGGATATAACTTACAAAGAGCCTCATATTGTGCACCATATTTGGTGGCAATTGTGATAAAATTTCTTTTTCAATAAAACAAACCATAAAAGTTCACATGACAAAATTATGGTGATTGATCTTACCAGTAGTAGGCTTAGTGTCTTTCATCATCTCTAACAGAGAACTTCATGCTTTCTGGACACTTAAGTTCTAACTGCTTAAATTTCTTAACTCTATTGATGCTTTTTCAATAAATCAGGACAAGTTACTGTTTGCTGAGATTTCAGAGGGCTTTGCTTCGGCTCTGCTCTGTATAGACAGAGTCTTTGGCACCCAGAGACCCCTCTCTTTGTGCGGGGTATCTCACAGGCCCCTTGGGTATGAAAGTCATGGCCATTGAGCCATGTGCTAGAGAGAGCCCACAGACTACAGCATTTGCAGCTGCTGAGTGAGATCCAGAGATGAGAGTTTCAGAATGGCAATTTTGTTTCTTTGGAGTGGTAAATATCAGCTGGTGCTGGAATTGAGACAGAAATGTACAGCTCGATGCTTCACATCGTGCAGGGACTATGGTATCAGGCCACCCACATCCCATGCTGGCCTGCTAACGGAGATCCCGGTGAGTCACTGTGGACGATAACTGATAACCACTCCTTCCCTCAGAAGCTGTGAAGCATTGAGAGTGTGGACTGGCACTTAGGGAGGGTTCAGTAAACGTGCTGGTCCTCATCGCATCCTTACTGCATTCCCAGGTGAGATCTTGAGCCGTTGCACGGCGAGAACATCTGCATTTCCAGTCTCTTATTCTTTGTGGTTCAGATCGTGGGCAATGGCGTTTGAGTTGATGCCCTACACTGCCTTGGGGTTCGTGTTGGGAGAGCAGGCAAGGAAAGCATCAGGCCCTCCAGTGATGCGTCATTTTGCCTCTGATTAAATCAGAGTGCGGGTGAAGCCTGGCATGTACTGTATCCTCTCCGCCTGGAAAAGAGCATTTAGCCCCAAGAGTCCTGCTCAGTGAGAGACCTCAGGCTGTGGTTCTGCCTCTGCTCCTCGCGGTGCCTGCCCGTCCAGGCAAAGTCTAAGTGTGGAAACAGCGTGCTCGGAGCCGCAGTAGGACAAGTGTTGGCAGGCGGGAGTGGGTGGCTTTCTGGGGTTTGCTTGTTTGGACTTGTTATCAGTCCCTGAAAAGCGATCACTGCTGCGCTCATTTTCAACAGATTCTTCAGATGATCCCAGTTTACCGCGATCAGTCTCTGTTGCAACTGGACTGAACATGATGAAGAAGCAGAAAGTAAAAACCATTTTCCCACACACTGCTGGTGCAAACCAGACTTTGCTCAGCTTCGCGCAGGGAGACATCCTCACACTGCTCATCCCTGAGGAGAAGGACGGCTGGCTTTATGGAGAGCATGACACCACCAAAGTGTAAGTCTCAGGGCAGATGCTGTCCACACAGCAGTCAGGGCCACCCAGCACTTCAGAGAGCGGCCATATCTTCTTTTAGTGGCAAATTGTCTTTGTGATCACAGCGTTTTTACCAAAGTTCAGTTCATAGTTTAGTTATGGTTCTAGTGTAGTTAATTGGAGTTACTCTGTCTCAGGTTATTTTCTGTATGTGCATATATAGATGAATTTGATACTTGAATAGGTCATAATGAAGTCACCTCTGAAAGTAGTTTTAAATAATTCTTGTGGTTTTTTTTTTCCTTGAAAGAAGACTTTGGATTTCTCAAGGATAGTCTGCACATCAGATGGATTTTGTTAAGATTTAGCGCATAAATAGTTTAAATGCTAGCGTCTTCAGCCATGAGTATGTGCACAGGCCTTACTGTAAGCTGGTTAAATTGGTTTTCTGTGCAGATTATTCAGCTATTAAATAAATGTGGAAAAAAGCCAAAAAGGTAATCCAAATAAAAAAAAGCTGTATGTAAAATACACATTGTGTGATGTGGTGAAAATGGACCGGTCTGCCCCTGAGCTGTCCCTGAGCCATTCTGTAATATACTTTAAGTTCACTTGTCTTCTGCTGACCCCACAACCAGGCCTTTTTTCTCCTTCCTCACCTGTAGGAGGGGCTGGTTCCCAGCATCCTACACAAAGTTGCTGGAAGAAGATGCAAAGGAGGCCATGAGTGTGCCCACACCAAGGTAGGACCTGACTGTGGCTCCCATTTACCAGTGACGAAAACTCACCTTTGACCTCATGATTTTGGACATAGGAGAATTCTGTCTAGATGTGTGGCGACCCCATAGGGAAACCTCCAGTCGTGTAGGAGAGTACAAAAGGGGGACTATTACCCACAGCTATTCCCTTATGGTTTCTGCTGTGGGGGCATGCCTCCAGACTCTGCTCCTCACCCTCATCAGCCTTCTGGAACCACTTACTGTCCCTCCCCCCCCCCCCCCCCCGGCCAGCTCACTAAATCCAAGGTGACCATCATTACCATTACTGCTTAGGAAGTGCCAAAGTGCCTTATGCTGACTAGCTCATTTAATTCTCGTAACAACCTTATGAGGTAGGTCCCCACTTTAAAATTGAGGACACTGAGGTACAGGAAGGTCTTTTCCATGCCTAGCTATGAATATTTATATGTGTATCAGCAGCTGTAGTTGGTTACCCCGTGAGTCCTCAGAAGTGACATCCAGGGGCGCCTGGGTGGCTCAGTCGGCTAAGCATCTGACTTTTGATTTCGGCTCAGGTCGTGATCTCAGGGTCGTGAGATCAAGCCCTGAGTTGGGCTCCATGCAGGCCATGGAGTGTGCTTAGGATTCTCTCTCTCTGCTTCTCTCTCCCTCTGCCCCTCCCTACCTCTCTAAAAAGGAAAGAAAGAAATGACATATCCAAACCGCACTCCTCATTTTTACCCTAAATTGCCTCATCCTCAGTGTTTCTCATCTCAAAGCCTCTAATCCATCCAGCTGTCCCCGCAGACCTTTGAGCACCACACTCGATGCCCCCCCTCCAAGTCCTGCTCCGTGTCATCTGTGTGTCCTCACCCCTGGCAGAACGGCTCAACTGCCGAGTGGCCAAGGAATAAAACTAGATATTGTGTTTGTGATGTTAAAATGCTGAGGACTGACTTGTTTTGTTTTTCAAATCTGAAGTGCTCAACACTTTGCTAAGGCTTTTGCTGTAGTCTTCATTTTCTTACTGATCTTAAATTAATCAAGAGCCAGCTCTTAATTAAGACAGTTTTTTTGAGTGCACATTTACAAACCAGTAAAAACATTACAGTATTTTTTATATTGATGTATATTGTGTGTGCACACACGCATGTCTCGTCATCTCCTCTCTCACACCCTGTGTGAGTGTTCACCTATTGCAGTTCTGGCCCTAGGATATTTAGGATGTTTGGGATTCAGATGGCAGGATCTTACGTAACTTGTACTCTCTGCTTGTTGGTAGCCTGGCCCCAGTGAGAAGCATCAGCACGGTGAATTTATCTGAGAAAAGCAATGTTGTCATTCCCCCACCGGATTACTTGGAATGTTTGTCCCAGGGAGCGGCTGCAGATAAGAAAGCAGATGTTTCCAAAAATACTTCTACCTTTAAAGCACCGGTGTCCCAGCCAGAAGCCACATCTCCTGTGAGTGGAACTGCAGCATAACGTCCTGTGTACCCCCACCCTGAATGGCAGTCTGGGGGGTGTGGGCTCTTGTTCTACCAGGAATGAAGGTGGTATCCCCCCAGGCGGGGCTGGCATGCGCTCCTGAATCTTCTGCATTCCCACCCTCTCACACAGCCACACAACTTCCATAACTTCAGTACTTCTGTTTGTTTTTATCTGTAAATGTAGTTCGTCAGATGGTATCAGGTGTTCTCTCCTCGCCTTTGGCCCCGGCTGCAGTCAGTCAGTCTCATCACTTGTTCTGCGTTTTCTTCAATTTTCATACCGTTTCCTGAAGGAAGGCTTCTGGTTAAAAGTAACTTTATCTTTGTGGTTTCAGAAAGTGCTTACTCTGCACCAGGTGCTGGGTAAACATGGTGTCATGTACGCCCTCTGTAATCCTAAATGACCCCATAAGATCATAGAGGCCACGGACTCCCAGAGTCCCTTCATTGCTGTGGCACCTGTGTCTCCTGAGCGCCGGCCCCTGGTGCGTGCTCTCAAGGTGCAGAGATGAACAGGACCAGTTAGTGGCTGTCTTGGAACTTACATTCTAGTGGGGGGAAACAGACAGAAATAAACAGTAAACACAGTGATGGAAGCTGTGCAGAGAACTAAAACAAGGTGAGGTGATAGAGGGATGGGGCGACCGCTCACATGGATGCCACAGGTTTGTGTGCAGGTGCTTATGAGGGAGCACCCTGGGGTCCTCACCTGTGAAAGTGAGAGAAGGGGAGCAGCATTCGGCAGGGGGAGAAGCTGGGCTGGGAGGGGAGCCAGGCCTTGATCACTGGCATCCAGGGCAAGAGAGCTTGAGCCAGGGCAGTTTCCCGAAGGGACAGCCCAGGGCAGCGCTCCCTGCATTTTCTTGTTGATCTGGGCAGCACGTGACAGTGTCTGCACCCCCAAGGAGGGGACACTGAAACTGAGCTGAGACCTGAATGGCAAGGAGCCTATCATGTAGGGGTCAAGGAGCGGGAAGGAGCAGAGGAGCACACATACTTGGCATGCTCAGAGAACGAGGCCATGACTCCAGGATGACGGAGAATTGCGAAAGGGGGGATCCGTGTTCTCATTTTTCTTTCAGGACAGATTTTACCGTAAAGAAGGGGAAGCATGAAGAGAACGGAGACCAGGAAGGCAAGCGGAGCGCACGTGGCGTGTGGGGCCGGGAGCAGGGAAGGTAGTGAGCGAGAGGCCACGGGCGCGGGCAGAGGTGCGCACGGACTGGGGAGTTCCTGCTTGAGGGTGGCTGCTCTCCGTGGGGAAGCAAGGGCATCAGCAGAGGAGGTGGGCGGAGCGAGCAAGTGTAAAGAAAGGGAATTTGTGAAACGGGTTCTGAAGAGTGAGAAGGTGCGTGTGGTACAGAATACGGGGTATACGGGGGGTAATGCCGATGCCCGTTTATGGTTTGGGGTCATGATTTAAAAGGAAGCCAGGCAGTTTGGTTGTTTCTCCAGCAAGTGCAGCTGCTCTGGCTCAGACAACTAGTTGGGGTTAACAGGTGGTGGTGCTGGGGGAGGAGCAGGGAGTTCTTGGTGTTTGTGAGGGTAGGGCTGTGGTGTCCCAGACCTTGGCATTCAGGCTGGGCCATGAACGGATCTGGAGGGTGGGAAAGGAGGTGCGGGGGAGGTGGGGCAGAACCTCTGCGAGGCTGCACAGCTGCCGGAGTGCAGTGGGAAGGAGCCTGGGAGGTGAGGGTCAGAGAGTGGGCTGGGCTTCTGGGGGCTGTGCAGCTGAGCTTCGTACCCAGGGCTGCACAGTGGCCAGGTGGTACCAGAGCCTGCCTAGCCTGTACTCCTGCCAGCTTCCTCCCAGAAGTGCCCCCGGGCACTGGTGGTAGTCCACAGGCAGTTGGTACATTGATGCCTGGCTACTTTGTTTTTTATTTTCTGGTTATTGTCTGGTCCTTTCTGTAGCGCACGCAGGGGCATCTCCCTGCTTCTCGTGGGATATGTGGCTCCACAGCTCTGCCCCCATCACCAGTACTGCTGGTGGCCTTTGTTCAGCTGTGAGCGGTGCATGGGTGCGGTCTCTGGATTACATGGAATGGGGACTCTTAAAAATGTGCCCTGCCTTTGACTGGAGCCTTCAGGTGTTTTAGAATATGCCTACCTCATCATAAGCTGCAGTATGTTCTGATCTGGGAAATGCAGGGTTTTGCAGTCTCTCTCAAAAATGTCTTTGGCTTGGGGACACCTGGGTGGCTCAGTAAGTAAAGTGTCTGCCTTCAGCTCAGGTCATGATCCTGGGGTGCTGGGATCGAGCCCCGTGTCAGGCTCTGCACTCAGGGAGTCTGCTTTTCCCTCTTCCTCTCCCTCTGTGATCTCTCTTGCTCTCTCTCAAATAAATAAATAAAATCTTTAAAAAAAAAAGTCTTTGGCTTCTCAGATAAGCACACTGTACGATACATTGTTTGTACCTTTATTATTCCAAGTTACACCAAAACCTAACAAAAATTATTTTCAAAAGAATGACACACAGCTGTTGAAAATGGAACTTTTCCATTCTTTTATCATGGAAGAGAAATTACTTGGAAGGACAAAGGTATCAAATGCTGTTTTATTAAATACCCTAGTACATTTTATTTATTTATTTATTTTAAAGATTTTATTTATTTATTTGACAGCGAGAGACACAACGAGAGAGGCAACACAAGCAGTGGGAGTGAGAAAGGGAGAAGCAGGCTTCCTGCGGAGCAGGGAGCCCGATGCGGGGCTCCATCCCAGGACCCTAGAATCATGACCCGAGCCGAAGGCAGACGCTTAACCAACTGAGCCACCCAGGCGCCCAACCCTAGTACGTTTTAAAACAATATTCAGACTCTTTGAAAATTATCTTAAGACATTTTGAAAAGCATAAACATTCCTTTTGCTGGGGCAGGCGAAAAAAAATGCTTACAACTGGATGTCACCCAGCTCAGGATCCATGAATACAAGGTACACCGTTCTGGTGTGACCTGTCTATAGTGCCTTCTGTTTTTTTGTTTGATTTCCAACTTTTTCTTAGGGAAAAATTCAAACATAATAAAAGTGGAAAGAATAATGTCTCTCACCCCCAGCTTTGACAATTGTCAATTCATTTACCAATCTTTTTTTTTTTTTAAGACTTATTTGAGAGAGAGCGCGCACGTGTGTGCATGTGATCAGGGGAGGGGCAGAGGGAGAGGGAGAGAGAACCCCAAGCAGACTCCAAGTTGAGCCTGAGGTGGGGCTCGATCCCACAACCCATGAGATCATGAGCTGAAACCAAGAGTTGGATGCTTAACCAATTGTGCCACCTAGGCATCCCCGCCAATCTTTTTTCATCTTGCCCCTGGCCGCTCCCAGATCAATTTGATGCTAATTCCAGACTTTGTCATCTCATGTATAAATACCTTAAATATAATAATACCTTTTATTTTTACACAACCAAAATACCAATTACCGTATCTTTAAAAATTGACAGTAATTCCTCAATATATCAACCAGTCACTTCAAATTTCTGATTTCTGATTGTCTCATTAAAAATTGAACAGTATAGTTTGAATCTGGATCCAGGCCTGCTCCACACATTGTAATTGGTCACTGAGTCTCATGATGAGTGTTTTTGTATTTAAGGACTCCCCATCTCTTTTTCCTTGTAACTTATCTGGAAGAACCAGGTTATTGGCCCTGGAGGGTGGCCCCTGACTGCATTTCGCTGAATGCATCCACATGGTGTCCTTCACCACATTCCCCTTTCTCCTGTATTCTCGACCTGGATCAGAGTCGGTATTATTGTTTTGTTTCTTTGCCTGTTTCGTTAGAGCATTTCATCGGTGGTGGTGGCTAGTCCATCCAGAGAGACACCTGTCTGATTATCTCTTCTTTTGTGATATTAGCAGCTTTAATAATAACCACCTCACTCCATTACTTTAAGGCTGGGTGATGTCTTCTAAGATAAAAGAATCTTGCCCCAAAATCATAGTTAACACTGAAATTATAAGTGAAAACACTGACATTTTAGGGCGCCTGGGTGGCTCAGTCTGTTAAAGTTCTGCCTTTGGCTCAAGTCCTAATCCCAGGGTCCTGGGACCGAGTCCCACATCGGGCTCCCTGCTCAGTGGGGAGTCTGCTTCTCTCTCTGCCTCTGCCTGCCACTCGCCCTGCTTGTGTGCTCTCTTGCTCGCTCTCTCTGTCAAATAAGTAAATAAATAAATAAAATCTTTAAAAAACACACACACAAATTTTAGCCAACACGGTCTCATTTTAGAGAACATTTTAATTTTCAATATTTTTACCATGTCGGTAAAGCTTTATGATGAAAGCACTGATGCAGTTCTTACTATACTGAATTGGATACACTGAAAAATCCTATTTATCAGTATGGTCAAAAATGATATTATTTAGCATTTGGCAGTTTAAATGAGATCTAACTATTTTTAAACCACTTTGGCTGGATCATACTAGACTGGCAGTGTAAGGAGGCTGCCCTGAAAAGTGCTGAGACTGTCTAGTAAACTGAGGGTTTGGGGCAGAGCAGCAGCTTTGGGCGTGTAGCTTTCTCCGGAGGGCTGGGACGGGGCTGCTGCTGGAGCTGGTCCCATGCTCTGTGGCCACCTCGTGGAAGCCACTGCCCTTCCCACCTTGGCCGTGGGTGCAGGAGTCCTCGGCTCACATCCCGTGTGCGCCCAGTCTGTTCTGTCCCAGGGCTCCTCCAGGAAGAGCTCCTCCAGGCAGAGCTCCACATCCCAAGCCCCCTCCCTCCCCCTGCCACAGACCATCTTCACTGATCCTAATCTGTAGTCTCTTGACAAAGCCCTAGACCTGATGGCTTCCCTGGTGGATTCTGCCATACATTACAAAGACTGGCTAATACCATCCTTCTCAAACTTTTGTCCAAGAATCAAAGAGGAAGGGACACTTCCAAACTCACTCTGAGGCCAGCGTCACCCTGATACTCTGGTCAGGCCCCCTATTTCTGTCTTGCAGGCCAGACAACTTTTTTTAGTCTTTCAT